TTGTCCGCACTTTTGCAAAGTGTTTTTTCATTTTATCAAAGGCTCTCTAAACGTTTTCTGACATTTCTTTAGACAATTGATACTACTGTCGAGCAATATTCGGGCCCCATAACTTTTTAAAGAGAATCATTTTGCAGTTTTAGTTTCCATTTTCGTAAACAGCATTCAAAACTCTATCGATTTATCTGGGTCTGAATTCAAAGTTCCAAGATAAGTAGACTACCCCTCCCTGGTTAGCGATATTGCTATGCTTGTAGCTAGGTGTATGTGAAACAACTTGAACAGGGCAGTGGCGTAGTAATACTAGTTGCTGTCGAAGTAGGAAAGCGGGATGATTTCTGGCTTAGTGGCACTTTTAATTATCTTCTAAGTCTATTGCGGCCATTTATATGCGATTTTGTTCATGACGTAGGAAAAGGTGATTTGTATTTCATTGTTTTTCGATCGTAACGCATAATGAACTTCGTGTATTCGAAGGGAGATTCACGAAAATGAAGCCCCATGAATTTGTCCTATTCAGGGCCATGCCTGTTATTCGGTGTACGAGAGAAGGACAAAATCAAGTCCCGTTATTTTGCATGTGCTGTCTACAGGTTAGTGTAGTTAAGCATGTGCTTCTGATTACTTTGTTTGTCCGTTGTCAGTTACCTTGTCGACATATCGTTGTTCGTATCACACTTCCATCAAAGGACGTGGCCCTGAACCAAATAATGACAACTGGTAATAGCCGACTATGATGACTATGATGGGTGCGAAGGACTGAGTTCGTTGAACTTTTTTTATACGCGGAATGAGGCGTAGCTCAGTGAAATGTTTATTGAAAACGAGCGGGAGACTGGACTGGGGTTGTTCGAACGAAACTAATGAGAGCCCTGTCATAGGGTTAAACGTGAGTAGTAAGCAGACTGCGGAGCAGGGGCGCAGTTTTCCGCAGAGTTATTACCTTTATTTGACATTCCCGTTCTTATAGTTAGTGCTATTAGAAGGAGGGACATATTCGAAAGGGAGAACAACCATTTCGGACAACTAATGAGCGAACTTAGTCGTTGGAATGCTTTAACGTTTGATATATGTGGATGAAGGTTGAAATCAAAATTTTCTAGAATGGATGCTACTGCTTGTTCCTTCAAAGCGATAGCAGACGAACACGGGAACCTCATTCAAGAGGAAGCAGGACAAAGCAAGGATAAGGAGGAAGAGTCGTACCAAAGCGAGTCTAAAGCTGTTTGCTATGGATGTATTCCCAAAAATTACGTGACATCTTTAATTATTTGTTTTTGTCGTGATCAGTTAAAATCAAATCAAGAATGCAATATCAGGGTGTGATCATAAGCATTGAATGACCGGCTACTCTTGAGCCACCGTAGTTATGCTTTTAATGTATTCCTTCTCCAATAATGTTGGATTTCCTTAGCAATCAGTAACGTGCCCTCAAACCTCGGGAGTTGATCCAACCGTTGTGGGCGCTATAGATCCCTCGCAGTATTTCATGCTCTCCATTTCTTTGAATCTCTTTATTTGTTACAAAAAGACTGAGAACCACGAATTTGAACATCCTTGTAGTAATCGAACAGTTTTTTCTCATTTCATCAGTGTATTTTTGAAGAACCATAGCCATGCTTTTACTCTTACAATTGTATCTGAAAGCGTTCTTAAACTATGGACAATCTTTGCAGGTTGAAAACAATCCCCAAGTCTTCTGCACTCGTCTTCTGTCATGAATGCGTCGACGTTTTTGAGATGAAGCACAAATGTCCGGCAGAAGTTGTTACTAGAGCACAACTTCGGCATCCTTCTCGACTTCTAGAGGCGAAGGATTCTTGCAAAGGAGAAGCCGTAAGTGACGGTACATAGTTACTAGCGCTACTAGTGTTAGGTTCCAATTTAGCAATTCTTTTTCTCCAATGAATCCATCGAGATCCTTCAAGGAGTAGTGGAGCGCTCAGGCGTCGATGGAGTTCTTTGTCTCGGGGCCCCAAGAGTAAGTGCTTCTAATTCTACAGGCAACCAACGGACTACTTTTATGTGTGAATGAAGAAGGCATGTTGTGAAAAACCTTTTGTTTCAGCTTTTTGAAGAGTTGAGAGGAAAAAAAGGTGAGAAACGTCATCTCTTCCTCCTTGACTATGATGATAGATATGTGAGTAGTTTTCATTTCGTAAGAGAATTTTCCTTAAAACCATCATTTTGTTACAGCTGCACGATTCAGGCACGATTTTTCCCCGCAACGCAATTTGCTCAGTACAGCATGCTTGTCGACCACTTTTATGACAGGAAAGCTCTTGACCGACTTTGCTCTTTTTTTGCGGTGTGTTTTGCCGTATCTCTACAATTTATTCTCGAAACTGGTCCTATGTTTCTGATTATTGTACTTCTGCTTCATTTATTTTCAGGAATGTGCCCAAATATTGCTCATATGTGACCCACCTTTCGGGGTGTTTCTTGAGCCGCTCATGCACACAGTAGATTCTCTTCGGCAACGACACAAGAAAGCAAGGTCTGTTCAAATACTGTCTATGTGTAGTTATTTTGTAGTCTTTAGCTGTATAGCCTTTTTCGTCCAATCGTTTCGGTCGGGTTCCAGTTTCTCAGAGGGTTTTTAGCCGACGTTGTCTCCAAATTCTCGATTGTTAGTTGGAGTTGTACACAAGCATTGCGTCTTATTGTTTAGAAGATTTAATGAAAGAATAGCCTGTGCAAATGTGGGAAGGTATAGCGAGCCTGATCACCTCATGTTCAGAATGTCCAAATCATCTTGCAGGCATTCCCATTTACCATCGAAGCTCGAAATAATTTAATTGCTCTCATGAAACTTACCGTGAACTGCAGTCAAAAAAATTGCAGCAATAAAATCCTGTCGCAGTGTGTACTTTGGTTTACTTCATCGAGTGAAGTATTATGTGGTTGTGTCAAAAGCAAGATAGTTTATGCTTGCAAAAATATGAGCCGATTCTTTGAAGGGAGGATATATGGCCACTGTGTCCTTAAGATGAGTTGTATACCACCGTAGGTATTTTCGGAGGGGTATCTCAATCTGCGTTCCAAATTTGCTAAACGATTTCGGGAGCAAAAACGGATTGGTCCCCCTTGTGTTGTACTACTACCGGTCGGGTCGCCCGCTTACGTCGATCCTCATTCCTTACATTTAGTTAGAAAATGTAGTTAGGGGGGGGGTGACATCGCTTTTATACAACATTGAGATCTAGAGCGCAGAGAAGGAGTGGTAATCGATCATAGCTGTGCTTAGAGACGGTTCAAAGTGAAAGGATGCAGTTCTTACTCAAGCCTCAGGAGGGAAGGAGCGCCAAGGTGGGATTGGGATGATTACCTCGTGCAAAAGCTACATGCGTTTCAAAAGTATGTTCACACCTAATATTTTGTTTTTTTGAAAATACCACTGCTTCCTGTAACCTATGACCTTCACCATTTCCTTGTGTACGATAACCTACGATCACTTTCTCTGAGAAAACATCGTAGCTGCTAAACAATTTTTTATTGAAGAAAAAATTTTCTTTGTTTAAAAAGTATGTACACACTTGGCAAAAAACAAAAATATAACCGAGATCAGAAATCAATAGGGCCTGCTAAATTTCTGTGAAGGAATCGACTACGAGGAGTCGTTTGAGAATGGTTTCGTTCGGTAGGTTCCTTAGTTACCTTTAAAATGAAAATTTTTGAGTGTGCACATACCTTTGAAGCGACAACTAGGCCGCTCTTTTTGCTAGATTCTACAAGACCCTGGCAGCTATCGTTCACAACCTATTCCTGACCGTCCACGTGTTTTGACTGCTCCGAACAACGGGAGAATAACCCGTTTTGTGGCGAATACTTCTTTGTGTGTGAGTCAGATCCTAGCTAAAATAGGTTTATCAGTCTCTGTATGACCGTTTGACGTTCTATCCGCTTTAATGAGTATATCACACGAGAGACGGTGAAGAAGGCTCCTCGACTCAATACTCGCCACACGCTGACAAGGCTGGAGTTTGCTCGCGCAGGCCATCAAAGAGCCTTCTCCAAATTCCTTCTCGAAAACACGAGTGGCTCTCGGTGAAGGTCCCTCCAGTAATGACGAAATCCATCCGGATCGTCGAGATTGAACTACTTTCCATCAGACAAGATCACTCAAGAACAAAATGGGTACAACATGTTGTTTGTTCTAAAAATAGGATAACCTGAAAATTCTCGAACAACCGTACCTTGTCCCATGATGTTGCCATGTTTTTACGAGCAAACTCCAGCCTTGTCAGCCTGTGGCGAGTATTGGGTGGAAGAGCCCTTCTTCATCGTCTCTCGTGTGATATACTCATTAAAGCGGATAGAGCGTCAAACGGTCATACGGAGACTGATAAACCCATCTGAGTTCGGATCTGACTCACAGACAAAGAAGTGTTCGCCATGAGACGAGTTATCTTCTGTTGTCCCGAGCAGTCAAAATACGTGGACAGCTAGGAATAGGTTGTGAGCGATGGCTGCCAGGGCCTCGAATCAATCTAGCAATGCCTGAAAAAGAGTGGCCTAATTTCCGTTTCAAAGGTGTGTGCACACTCAGAAATTTTCATTTCAAAGGTAACTAAGGAACCTACCGCAACGACACCATTCCCAACGACTCCTCGTGGTCGATACCCTTTACAGAAATTTAGGAGGCCCTATTTATTTCTCATCTCGGTTATCTTTTGCTTTTTGCAAGTGTGCACATACTTTTAAAACAAAGAAAAAATTTTTTGCTTAATTAAAAATTGTGTTAGCAACTACGATGTTTCCTCAGAGAAAGTGATCGTAGGTTATCATACACAAAGAATTGAAAGGTGAAAGTCACAAGTTACAGAAAGTAATGGTATTTCCAAAAAAAACAAAATATCATGTGTGTACATACTTTTGAAACGCTCTGTAGGATGTGGTATAAAAAAAGCGGAGGTTTCTCAACTACATTATCATTCCGATTTTTGTGTAGACATACATAGTACGATGTCAGTAAAGATCAATATCTTAGTTTCGAAGTACTCAGTTCACATTACTCACTAGTCTCCGCAGTACTCATTCTACTCCATTAACCCATCCACCAAGTGACTGCTCCATATAGAAGAAGAGAGTGTAGAACAGAGCTATGTTAACTATACCTCTACCTTTATCGTTATCATTAAGTTTTTTTAAAGGCAGACAGACAAACAGATACACCAAGTTACTGATTTATAAATAAGAGGGATGTTGAACTGATAAGCGAAGCTAGCAATTATCCTTATCTGTGAGGGTGCCCTAGTTAGTAGGGCTGTAGATTTATAGACGTAAGCTTATTTTCCATTTTCATGAAATGGGTCGTGATCGTTTGCAAAACATCGCTACACTTCATATGGACTATCTACAGAACTCCTTTACATTTCATGGGCCCTGGAAATGTGTTTTGGGAGAAAAAGTATCTTGCTCTTAGTCGACTAGGCATTGCGAAGCTTGAGCTCGGAATGGGTTCTGGAAGCTTTAGCCGTGGGGCACTGTATCATCTGTATCACCTGTTGTCCCGTTGATTGTCGATTACCTCGAACGGGCGTCAGTAGCGTCTTCATTCGTCCCTGTCACGAGCTAGAGCGGTCCAGTGAATCGTCCTAGCTTCAGGGACATGAGTCCCAGCATTCCTTTCATTCGAGCTTTCATGAGGAAGTCCGACCATCTCGTTGGTAGCCGTCCTGGAGCCGATTGACATCCCGAGGGATCCAGTCCGTAACCGCCCTGGTCCAACGGTAGTCACTATATCGCATAACGTGTCCGGCCCACCTGATTTTCGATGTCTTGGCGTAATCTGACTCGACAGTATCAAAGGCCTTCTTGAAATCGATGAACGTGAGCCATAGCGGTATTTTGTACTCTCGCGATACTTCAATGGGTCTTGCAAAGTATGGATATGATCGATTGTCCTGAACCCTCTCCGAAACCCTGCTTGCTCTCACAGCTGTCTTTCATCTAATATTCTGCCAATCCTGTTAGAATGATGCGTGTAGAAAGCTCGTAAATTACAGACAGCAGACAGGTTGGGCGACAGTTGCCAATGTCGTCGAGGTCTCCATTCTTGTACAGCAACAAAGTTTTCCACGACGTGGGCACTTTGCATTCCGGCAGGTACCGCCTGAAGAGCCTATCCAGAGTTCCGGCAAAGAGGGGCGGAAGACTGTTCAGCTGTTCTGGTTTGATCCTATCGGGACCGGCTCCGTACAATTCTTCATCGACGTTATCGCATGTCGAATTTTGGAAGGGAGAACCAATGGAGCGATACATTCGTCTTGCCTAAGATGGTGAGTAGGCAGGTAGGCGCGACTGTCGAAGAGATCCGAGAAGAAGTCGTAGATGGCCTTCTCCATTGCCCATCGAAATGCACTAACTGTTCTGTCAGGACGGCGAAGCACTGCATCATTCATAATAGCAAAACGCTTTTCAACATACTACCAGCAAAATGCGAAACCTTAGCTTGGAATGAGTCTCGGAAGCTCTAACCGCTGGGCATTATATCATTCATATCAAGACCTCTTTAACATATTACCAGCTAGTTGTTTTGCTCGTAGGTGGTATGACCGTACTGGATAGGGAGTTTGGTTTACAACATAACTTGAGCACCATCTGAGAAGGAACGGGAGGTCGTAAAGGACAATCGCAATGACTCTAATTTCTCATTCTGTATGTGTATACATACATTATTTTTTGATACATCCATTCATTTTTCAATGGCGCGAAGTTGCATTCGAATACCCACACTCGGGGAAGCAATTCAAACTGAAGCATTGAATTACCGTTGGAAACCACTGGCCGCATTCATACTAGGTGCCG